TAATCCTATAGTAGTTTTTTCTTCATCAAAGAGTTCCTGCCGAGGGAACACGTGAATACTTATGTTCCCTGAGCTCTCAAAGTTTTGATATAGCTCCATGACAGATTATAATGGCAAAGGTGTTTATGAAAATTATGAGACATCAATTGAAAAAGCGGTTGGTTTGTATAAGATCATAAGCGCCAACCTGAACAAGTCTGACATATCTAATGCATCATCTTCCGGCTTGCAATCAAACTCAAACCCGGCCACTCATTGTAAGGTTTTTAGGTACAAGAAAAGTACCTTAAATTGTTAACCTCAGAAGAAAAAAAAACAGCTGCGCACTGATGAGGTTCAGTAGAAATAAATTATTTCAAGATGAAACCAGTTTGAGTTATGTACTAAGGTCTAACTCTTAGAGTAATTTCAGATAGGGTACACCGTCTGCTCGTCACGCTATCTTATTTTCGGCCGGATAGATTCGTAAAACTTCTTTGTCTAATACCGATCTTAATCTTACTCTTATATCTCATAGTCTCAATAGATCTAGAGTATACTGGTTTTACTACGAGATTGTCTCTTGCAGAAAGCAACTAAGTTGTAAGTTAAATTCAAATCTCACTGGTGCTGAAATTACAAGTAATTTTAGCACTTACAAATAAGTGGGTTGTTAGTTTGATGGAGTGTGATTGGTTAGTCTTTAATATTTTATAGGGATAAAACATCTAAATTATAACCAATAACAATTTATAGTTTGGATTTGGTTTCACCCATCCGGGGTTTACAGAGTTTCTTGTTCTTTGACATTTATCTGTAATGCAGGATGGATGATGGGTGTTTGTATTTCGCGAGCATCATTTTTGTTCCGTTCTTGGAGGAGGAAGCTTCAGGAAGCTGGAATCGTGGATATGAACTTGTTATTCAACAACGGCTGCGACCGCCAACGGTTGCTGTATTTTTTTTGGAAATTCTATCTAATTTCCAAACGGTTTGTTATGACCGTTTGTTCTTGTTTGGTGGAGAACTGTGTTTCGATCTTGTTTGGGACAATGACGATACAAATCTGCTTACAGTTACAAATTATGGTTCTAATTTAAACAACAGAAATGAAAAAGGTTGATATAGCATGATTAAACTTCATCCTGGAGCATCATTTGTTAAATAAGTGGTTTTTAAACTACATGAAGCCAAACTTAAAAAGTCTATCATCATGTTTATCCAATCATCATAGTAAAAAAATGTTTCGATCCCCGCGAAAAGAATACGCAGCTTGTGGAAATACTCGACGAAGATTTCGTGTTAAACGAAATTTTCAAAGCCGATATTTACATGCGGTGATTCCAACAACGGCATCTTGATCGAAACAAAATAAATTATAGTTATAACAGTGCCAGTGTTTTAACGATTTTGAACTTAAAAGCGGTTCATCTACTAGAAGAACTGATACCTCAAACACCGGCATCGATCATTTTATTGTTAACAGTTCAAATGAGCATGATATAAGCGTTCTCGAAAATCATTTGTTTTTGGACCTTTTCTCTTCACTCCACGTCAAAACATTGATTGAAATTAAAGATAGATTTTTTTGGGATCTGGCGTTTCTCAAAGAAAAGAAAACAGCCAATGAATTTCAAAATCATCTGATTTTTATGATAGAACAATTTGTCAAACTCTTTCAAAGTTTCAAACACTGCTTTCAACCGGGTGTTGAGATCCTTTCGGATGTTGATTACTCGCGACCTCACTTTGGCTCCACTCGGTACCGGACCGGCCGGTTCTGTGGGATTTGTTGTCTTTTTTCCTGAGGGGTGACTGGCCTGCACGCTGAGAAGGAACGATTCTACCCAAGCTTCTGTTCTTGCTCGGTGTATCTCCTGCATCGTAGCTTTGGCCACCTGCTCAAACTTCGCCTGAAACTGAGGTGCCAGGTAAGTATCTGAGGGATCAGTTATCATGTTTCTCGCGTTTGAAGGCGAGCTCATTTGTTGCGGGGCTGTCACCTCACTCGGTCTGTGAATCTCTTGAGCTTTAGTCTTGGTCGTCGTATCGGGGCTCATCATCGCCACAACATCTGACATCTAATGACAACTTGCTCACTCTCGCCTTGTAGAGCTCTTTCAGGTGTTTTATCTCATCCTTCTTGAAAGCGATCTGTAACTCGTCATACTTTCTCTTCCATTCGTCAGAATCTTTAGCTTTTTCTTTGCATTCATGAATCTTAGCGCATAATTCTTCCCAGTCTCCGTCAAAGAAGGTGAGAATGAACGAGATCAAAATACAGACGGCAGAAACCAATGAAACTCTCGAAAAAAGTGACAAAAACTGGGAAACTTTTTTCGAGAGTTTCACTAGTTTCCGCCTCTGTATTTTGATCTCGTTCATTCTCACCTTCTTTGACGGTGGAGCTGCACTTGGTAAGTCCACAGAACGCGATGGGGCCGGCCAATTGCGTGATTTTTTGATCCGAAGAGAGGCCGTGCTGAGGAATCCTGGCTCACGAGCTAAGTCATGCCCAGACATCTCTCCGCGTCTGCATCGCATGAGTCGATTTCTGCTCCGCTCAGCGGTACCGGTCTCGCCGAAAGCCAGCATTAACACTACGACTGTGGGGTGGTCCCCACGGTTTTCTCTTCCCATCGCGTCAAGGAGTGCGACGGTGAACATCGCCAGCTCGGGGTCTTTCAATCCAAAATTACAATCAATCAACCGCTGATACACCTCGTCCAGAGTTGTTCCTAGGCTCGCTGAGATAAAATTCATTAAGTCATTAGTGTCGCTCATGTATTCTCGTGTAGGTTTTGTCTCTTCGATTTCAGTGTAGGTTCAATAAAAAAGATATGATAAATCACGATCTAAAAGACAAGTCACGACTTAGAATAATCATACAAGGTATCTCGTCATAAAATCAAGACATCATTCTTTTCTTTTAAAAGCAGTCAGTTGAAATTCTCTTTCTGTTCTTAGTTTAAAAGATAGCACCAAGTTGGATTGTCCACCTGCGATCTTGTCAATTGTATTATAATTGAACGCTGTCACCTTTCACATCTGGATTAGTCCAGTCCACAATTACATAACCATCACACAATCATAACCACACAATAATCACAAAATATCTATACCATACATCAACACTACTATACAAAACCTCTGTGGCATCATCAACTACTGTGCCCTCCTCGTTGGAGGTATATCGGTCTCTGTCTGGGTCTTGATGCATTTCTCTATCCAGTCCGCGCTGCTTCCATTCTACTAGCAAAGATTGAATCGCGATTTCTGAGACATCGGATTTGGATGTAGTTTCTGACCCATTCTCCCAAAGCTGAGACAGCTGAGACTGCGAGCCATCACTTGAGCCGATGGGTTCTGCATCATCGTCCTCTGATTTGTTCATGATGTTTCTCGCTCTGAAGTCGACTCCCCGGACAACATTCTGTGCCTTGGTCGTTTCGACATTGTCTCCCCGAAAGTGCATGAATCCCCGGACAATGTTTCGTCTCCTGATGAAAAGTCCGAGCTCGGCTCGTACTCCTCATTCGTGCCTAAGAACTGAACTCTTCTCGTTACGCTGAATCTTAATTCAACGTTGACCTCTTGAGCAGTCTGAGTAGCGATCGATGGTTGACACTCCACATACGAGGTCCTGAGAATGACATTTTTTGGTATCGAATTCACTAGATGGCTCACTTTTGATCGGCAATCCAGTTCAACGACCCGACTCCGAATGGCTACCGGTCTCTTCTACGTTCTTTCAGTGATGGTCAACAACTGCATGGTCTCCATCTATTCATGATCATGCCTTTCAACTTCTCTGTCAAGCAGGTCACGGAGTTTCCGCATGACATTCGGTGCTACGTTCACATCTGGATTAGTCCAGTCCACAATTACATAACCATCACACAATCATAACCACACAATAATCACAAAATATCTATACCATACATCAACACTACTATACAAAACCTGGTACCTATTTATTATCTTAAATTCTAATGCTAAGGCTTGAAAATTAAACCTAATCAAAACTATTAGCTTTAAATACAGCTCTAACATTTGCTCAGATAGTACTTTTAATGCAAGTAAACCTCTATGACCGTTTCCGAAAAAATGTACTAGGGCATATACCTCTCTCGGATGCAATTTTGCCCTATTGGGATCATAGACCGGCAAGGAAAGCGAGAACACTCGTAAGTTTGTCAACTTTTTCTCATGCATCTGTTCCACCTCAGGTTCCTGATCTGTATCGTTGATCATTTCGATCTCCTGTGACACCACTTTTTCTTTCAGGCCCACTATCATATCCGCAAGGTCGCTCAAAGCAATCCCGTCTACAACAAAATCTTCGCCCTACGGGTTGTATTTCTTTTTCTCTTAGCCTGGCGCGTGTCCATGGAGAAGATAAAGTTAGGCTCTACTCCTTTATCAGTTTCAGTCTGCTCTGGGTAGTCCCAGTCTTCTTCGGCATATGGTAGGATTTCATCATCAACCTCCACTCGCTCGGTTAACTCCAGGTCAAGTGGCAGATCACAGTCATTTATCATCTCATTCCAGTCCTCATCATGCATTTCAACTTGAATACACCAGTCCTCCGGTGAGGAATTGTGCGGTTTGATATTTTCCTAATCAGCTGCCCGTCCAGTGCTCAGTTGATAAAAACGACCACCCTGAGGCATTTCAGTTTTTTGAAATGGACCACGCCATTTTTTCAGCAGTTTTTTTGGTTCTCTTCGGAGAAACGATTTCCTGGAGCACCCAGACAAAACTCCCTATTGAGTAGGCTTTTGCTTCAGCGGTCCTCTTGTCAAACCTCCTTTTCTGTCAGACTTGAGCCTGCTTCGTGTTCCTCCTGCATATATCATTGAGTTTCTGTTGCCTCCTGATCACATCACGCACGTACGTTTGTGGCGCTGTTCTCTTACACTAGTACTCAATGTAGAAGAACGTTAATGGGAGGGCCTTCTCGTGGCCTGTTAACATCATGTGCGGGCTTATTCTCGTGGTGGAGTGTTTTCGGTGCTATTTTAAGCGCCCATTATCTGCGGCAATTGCCTATCCCAGTCGTCCATGTATCGTGAGCAATAGACCCTCAACATGGAAACTAGTGTGCGATTTTGTCTTTCGACCAGGCCATTCGTTTGTGGATAAAAAGCGGTCGAGTGGGCCTGTGACACTTGCGACTTCTTCATATACTCCTTTGTGAGATCTCCTACGAATGCTTTGCCATTGTCTGACTGGAACGTGATCGGGCAGCCATTCCTTGCTATCCAAACATTTATCAAGTGATCACACGTCTCCTCCGCTGATGCTGTCGTGCAGGGAGCTGCCTCTGCGTATTTCGTGAAATGATCAATCATTACCAGCACTTAGTTATAGCCCGTGTCCGTCATGCATATTTTCTGATGATCAATTTGTATCACCTCATTGAATTCTGACGACTCTATCGATTGAATGGGAAATCTCAACTTCCTGGGATCCTTCGCTTGCTGACATGACAAGCATGCAGAAATCCATTTCTCACAGGCCTTATTCGAGCCAGACCATTCAAATTGCTTCTGTATCCGGTTATGCACCTTATCCACGCCTTGAAGACCCATCTGGTCGTGTGAACAGAACAGTCACTGAGTTTCATACAGCTGTGGTAGTACTATCGAATTGTATTTGTAAAGGACTTTGTCCTCTTCTTTGCGCTTGCAGGCCTGTCATTGTTCAAGAATAACAAATCCTTTCTCTTTAAATAAAATTGCTTTAGGATCTTATAGCTGTCTTCTTCCAAATCGCATTTGGCGGGTGCTCCGTTTTCTATCTCCGGAGCATCGGCTGATTATCTCCGGAGCATCGGCTGATTATCTCCGGAGCATCAGCGTCGTCCATCAATTTAACACACCATCATTTTTCAAAGGTGTCGCGTCTTGCTCTAAGGGTTCCCGATTGGTACGGACGACCGTAGCATGCGGGAGTGTTCTAGTTGGACGTTTCGACACTGCTTTTAACTCAAGCTCATCTGTGGCATCATCAACTACTGTGCCCTCCTCGTTGGAGGTATATCGGTCTCTGTCTGGGTCTTGATGCATTTCTCTATCCAGTCCGCGCTGCTTCCATTCTACTAGCAAAGATTGAATCGCGATTTCTGAGACATCGGATTTGGATGTAGTTTCTGACCCATTCTCCCAAAGCTGAGACAGCTGAGACTGCGAGCCATCACTTGAGCCGATGGGTTCTGCATCATCGTCCTCTGATTTGTTCATGATGTTTCTCGCTCTGAAGTCGACTCCCCGGACAACATTCTGTGCCTTGGTCGTTTCGACATTGTCTCCCCGAAAGTTCATGAATCCCCGGACAATGTTTCGTCTCCTGATGAAAAGTCCGAGCTCGGCTCGTACTCCTCATTCGTGCCTAAGAACTGAACTCTTCTCGTTACGCTGAATCTTAATTCAACGTTGACCTCTTGAGCAGTCTGAGTAGCGATCGATGGTTGACACTCCACATACGAGGTCCTGAGAATGACATTTTTTGGTATCGAATTCACTAGATGGCTCACTTTTGATCGGCAATCCAGTTCAACGACCCGACTCCGAATGGCTACCGGTCTCTTCTACGTTCTTTCAGTGATGGTCAACAACTGCATGGTCTCCATCTATTCATGATCATGCCTTTCAACTTCTCTGTCAAGCAGGTCACGGAGTTTCCGCATGACATTCGGTGCTACGTTCACATCTGGATTAGTCCAGTCCACAATTACATAACCATCACACAATCATAACCACACAATAATCACAAAATATCTATACCATACATCAACACTACTATACAAAACCTGGTACCTATTTATTATCTTAAATTCTAATGCTAAGGCTTGAAAATTAAACCTAATCAAAACTATTAGCTTTAAATACAGCTCTAACATTTGCTCAGATAGTACTTTTAATGCAAGTAAACCTCTATGACCGTTTCCGAAAAAATGTACTAGGGCATATACCTCTCTCGGATGCAATTTTGCCCTATTGGGATCATAGACCGGCAAGGAGAGCGAGAACACTCGTAAGTTTGTCAACTTTTTCTCATGCATCTGTTCCACCTCAGGTTCCTGATCTGTATCGTTGATCATTTCGATCTCCTGTGACACCACTTTTTCTTTCAGGCCCACTATCATATCCGCAAGGTCGCTCAAAGCAATCCCGTCTACAACAAAATCTTCGCCCTACGGGTTGTATTTCTTTTTCTCTTAGCCTGGCGCGTGTCCCTGGAGAAGATAAAGTTAGGCTCTACTCCTTTATCAGTTTCAGTCTGCTCTGGGTAGTCCCAGTCTTCTTCGGCATATGGTAGGATTTCATCATCAACCTCCACTCGCTCGGTTAACTCCAGGTCAAGTGGCAGATCACAGTCATTTATCATCTCATTCCCGTCGTTTTTGTCGCGTGTGCGTCTCATTCACTTCGCAGGCCGGGTCAACTATCAAGTAGTCCTCATCATGCATTTCAACTTGAATACACCAGTCCTCCGGTGAGGAATTGTGCGGTTTGATATTTTCCTAATCAGCTGCCCGTCCAGTGCTCAGTTGATAAAAACGACCACCCTGAGGCATTTCAGTTTTTTGAAATGGACCACGCCATTTTTTCAGCAGTTTTTTTGGTTCTCTTCGGAGAAACGATTTCCTGGAGCACCCAGACAAAACTCCCTATTGAGTAGGCTTTTGCTTCAGCGGTCCTCTTGTCAAACCTCCTTTTCTGTCAGACTTGAGCCTGCTTCGTGTTCCTCCTGCATATATCATTGAGTTTCTGTTGCCTCCTGATCACATCACGCACGTACGTTTGTGGCGCTGTTCTCTTACACTAGTACTCAATGTAGAAGAACGTTAATGGGAGGGCCTTCTCGTGGCCTGTTAACATCATGTGCGGGCTTATTCTCGTGGTGGAGTGTTTTCGGTGCTATTTTAAGCGCCCATTATCTGCGGCAATTGCCTATCCCAGTCGTCCATGTATCGTGAGCAATAGACCCTCAACATGGAAACTAGTGTGCGATTTTGTCTTTCGACCAGGCCATTCGTTTGTGGATAAAAAGCGGTCGAGTGGGCCTGTGACACTTGCGACTTCTTCATATACTCCTTTGTGAGATCTCCTACGAATGCTTTGCCATTGTCTGACTGGAACGTGATCGGGCAGCCATTCCTTGCTATCCAAACATTTATCAAGTGATCACACGTCTCCTCCGCTGATGCTGTCGTGCAGGGAGCTGCCTCTGCGTATTTCGTGAAATGATCAATCATTACCAGCACTTAGTTATAGCCCGTGTCCGTCATGCATATTTTCTGATGATCAATTTGTATCACCTCATTGAATTCTGACGACTCTATCGATTGAATGGGAAATCTCAACTTCCTGGGATCCTTCGCTTGCTGACATGACAAGCATGCAGAAATCCATTTCTCACAGGCCTTATTCGAGCCAGACCATTCAAATTGCTTCTGTATCCGGTTATGCACCTTATCCACGCCTTGAAGACCCATCTGGTCGTGTGAACAGAACAGTCACTGAGTTTCATACAGCTGTGGTAGTACTATCGAATTGTATTTGTAAAGGACTTTGTCCTCTTCTTTGCGCTTGCAGGCCTGTCATTGTTCAAGAATAACAAATCCTTTCTCTTTAAATAAAATTGCTTTAGGATCTTATAGCTGTCTTCTTCCAAATCGCATTTGGCGGGTGCTCCGTTTTCTATCTCCGGAGCATCGGCTGATTATCTCCGGAGCATCGGCTGATTATCTCCGGAGCATCAGCGTCGTCCATCAATTTAACACACCATCATTTTTCAAAGGTGTCGCGTCTTGCTCTAAGGGTTCCCGATTGGTACGGACGACCGTAGCATGCGGGAGTGTTCTAGTTGGACGTTTCGACACTGCTTTTAACTCAAGCTCATCTGTGGCATCATCAACTACTGTGCCCTCCTCGTTGGAGGTATATCGGTCTCTGTCTGGGTCTTGATGCATTTCTCTATCCAGTCCGCGCTGCTTCCATTCTACTAGCAAAGATTGAATCGCGATTTCTGAGACATCGGATTTGGATGTAGTTTCTGACCCATTCTCCCAAAGCTGAGACAGCTGAGACTGCGAGCCATCACTTGAGCCGATGGGTTCTGCATCATCGTCCTCTGATTTGTTCATGATCTTTCTCGCTCTGAAGTCGACTCCCCGGACAACATTCTGTGCCTTGGTCGTTTCGACATTGTCTCCCCGAAAGTGCATGAATCCCCGGACAATGTTTCGTCTCCTGATGAAAAGTCCGAGCTCGGCTCGTACTCCTCATTCGTGCCTAAGAACTGAACTCTTCTCGTTACGCTGAATCTTAATTCAACGTTGACCTCTTGAGCAGTCTGAGTAGCGATCGATGGTTGACACTCCACATACGAGGTCCTGAGAATGACATTTTTTGGTATCGAATTCACTAGATGGCTCACTTTTGATCGGCAATCCAGTTCAACGACCCGACTCCGAATGGCTACCGGTCTCTTCTACGTTCTTTCAGTGATGGTCAACAACTGCATGGTCTCCATCTATTCATGATCATGCCTTTCAACTTCTCTGTCAAGCAGGTCACGGAGTTTCCGCATGACATTCGGTGCTACGTTCATCGTCTTGTTTAACAGTGCTAGGTAAGTATCTGAGGGATCAGTTATCATGTTTCTCGCGTTTGAAGGCGAGCTCATTTGTTGCGGGGCTGTCACCTCACTCGGTCTGTGAATCTCTTGAGCTTTAGTCTTGGTCGTCGTATCGGGGCTCATCATCGCCACAACATCTGACATCTAATGACAATTTGCTCACTCTCGCCTTGTAGAGCTCTTTCAGGTGTTTTATCTCATCCTTCTTGAAAGCGATCTGTAACTCGTCATACTTTCTCTTCCATTCGTCAGAATCTTTAGCTTTTTCTTTGCATTCATGAATCTTAGCGCATAATTCTTCCCAGTCTCCGTCAAAGAAGGTGAGAATGAACGAGATCAAAATACAGACGGCAGAAACCAATGAAACTCTCGAAAAAAGTGACAAAAACTGGGAAACTTTTTTCGAGAGTTTCACTAGTTTCCGCCTCTGTATTTCGATCTCGTTCATTCTCACCTTCTTTGACGGTGAAGCTGCACTTGGTAAGTCCACAGAACGCGATGGGGCCGGCCAATTGCGTGATTTTTTGATCCGAAGAGAGGCCGTGCTGAGGAATCCTGGCTCACGAGCTAAGTCATGCCCAGACATCTCTCCGCGTCTGCATCGCATGAGTCGATTTCTGCTCCGCTCAGCGGTACCGGTCTCGCCGAAAGCCAGCATTAACACTACGACTGTGGGGTGGTCCCCACGGTTTTCTCTTCCCATCGC